TGTGTGGTTTATTATATATAGTTATACATGACTGCCTACAATATTAGCATGATGTTTGTTTGTTTAAAATAAATACATATTTTTTGTTGGAACGTTGTTTTTAAGGCTCAAAAGTTAACATGAAGTGATTACAAAAATAGATTAAAATCCAGAGCTGAGAGAAATTTATACATTGTGTGTGTTGTGATGTCGTCCTCCGTGCACTGTACAGCCATATGAAGAAGCAGTGTATTTGCTCTTTCCGAGATATTCCCGTCTACACATAAATGCAGAGCGCGGCACCAAAGAGGTCACTGTTTCATCGCACGACTGCCAGCCAAAACAGTAGCATGCATAAAGTGGATGCTGGTAAATTTCTTCTTTCACGTGAAAACATAAGTATTACCCCTACCTGATTGTCTGCTTCTTATTCTGCAAGCAGCACGGTACGTACGTAGGTACTCCTGTCACACACAAAAAAATCCTAATATTAATGTAATAACATCATGTTAAATCCTTGAATTAAACCAAATATATAAAAAGTGTTAATGTTTATAACGCCAAATAAATACCATCTGATTCTTCATACGGTACATTTTTATAGTACATATATTTTCCATTATAGATATGGTTATATTTTTTTAAAAGGTTTAGCCAAAGTTTAGAAATTTCTCCTATATATAAAGAGTTTACCCCCATGAACCGAACATTTAACCAGTGTTGGGACACTCAAATGGTCAAGATTGAGTGAGGAAATCATGCACGTGAGCATGTCCATGAATCTTTGATGTTCTCAAGGTGACCAAGATCAGAAGCAAAAATTTCGAGGAAAGGCAAGGGTTGGTTCCTTTGATTCTCCTCTGGAGCTGGGCCCGCCCGTGGCCCGTCCCTGCGAATGTGATGGATTGCTGCATTGCATGGAGGAGGAGGATTGGGGACACCTAAAGATGGCAACGGGGACGTACCCGTCGGGTATCGCCGGAACATTCTCTTCCCCGCTACAGAGAATTCATCCCGTCCCCGTCCCCGTTAACTGTCTCGGGTATAGATTCTTGCCCATCCCCGTGCCCGTCGGGCATCGATCGGGTAATAGATACCCGACGGGTACTGCATACCCGATAAACAAGGACACTTGGGGTCGCAGCTTTGCAATCAGAGACATTTCTTCTTCACCCGAATATAAGTGTCGGAGTATCGGAGATGCCGAGGAGAAGGAGCGAGGTTGTGAGGAGGACGAGCAAAGGTGGCAGAGAGACCAAACTGAGGAAGCGAGGGGCACGAGCGCTCGTGAGGCAGGCGTGCTTGTGCTGCTGGCGGAGATGGTGAGGAAAAATTGAACTAGGGTTCCTAGCACACACAAACTATATATATGATTGTTCAGATTTGGACCAAAATACCTATATTGAGTTTCTTTGGGCCTAATACTCGCATGACAGCTCAAATAGTCGGGTTCCCTAACGGGTAACGGGGACGGGTAAACAGGGAACGTTCCCGTACCCGCTATACCCGTCGGGGATGGATTCTTGCCCATTTAGATGCCCATGGATAAATATATGATCCCATTCTCATTCACTAATGGATCAAATATCCGTCGGGTATCAGGTATCGGGCCGTTGCCATCTTTAGGGACACCACCGCACCCAAGTTTTTTACCAGCAGTAAAAGAAGTACACCTGGGATTATACTCCTAGTCCTAGTACGTCAGACGAGGGGTTCCTGACGAAGCGAGCTACTAGGCTCCTGCAGCCACCGGCTAACTTTGGGAAATACGCCTCTATCTTTTTGTGGTACCAAAATTCTGCGTCCTTGCTCTCGATACTGTTGCTAGGACGCACGGCTCACACTCATGTTGGATATTAGTTTTTTAGACTAAATAAAAATAGCTTTAACATGTTTATAATTATATTCAAGCTATAAATAAGATAGGCTATGTAAATATAATAAATGTGCCTTGAGCAGGTCTAATAGGTCTGTTCGGCTGCAGAAAGAAGCCGTTGCAGTCGTGGCCTTTTCTTCTCTCTTATAAGTTACTGTGGTCGCAGCAACAGCAGGTTAGAGCGGCTGCTTATTTTTACAGCCGACCATCCTGAGGGAAAATTTTCTGATTTTCGTGTGTTTTCCTATAAAATTGAACTGATTGTTGTAAAATTCCTACATAATTCCTATAAAATTTCTGAATTCCAAACAGGCCTGAAAATCCATAGATTGTTTAGAGCCGAAGCTTTACCAAATAAGGTCTCTACATCTGTACATATAGGTAGCCCTATTACATTCTCTGTGATTGAATAAGCAAAAAGAAAAGAAAAGGAAGTTGAAATCATCATTATTATTGAAAAACTTTGTTTTCCGTACAAAGGAGGTTTTTCCTTGTTTTTGTGTGGTTGTTCATGCTGAGATAATCCTATATGTATTTTTTTTACTTGCTTATTCCCTCCGTGGGTTTCCACGGTCCAGGTCATTAAACACACCATCTGTCACAAGGGGTTGTTCGCTTGCTTGATAAGCTATGGCTAAAAATACTGTTGGTTGATTTATTATGAGAGAAAAATATTATTTATTAACTGAAAAAGTACGGCTTATAAGCCAAACGAACAGGACAACAGTTGTGATGTACTTGTTCGTCTAAAAAAGGAGGGGTTATTCTTGTTCACCTCATTTTATTGTGCCCTAATGAGAAGAGAGAAATTGAAAACTGGAGCTTGCATTGTGTACTGTAGGAGGATCAACTGCAGACCCAGCACTGGTCCATGACAAGATATTTGGATTCTATTTCTGAATTATGGCAAAACATGATATGCGTGGGCCCAAGGTGACTCATCAAGGAAAATAATTTTTTGAAAATGGCAGATAGATAACTCACATGGTATGCATATGTATGTACATACTGCGCTACTGCAGACTCACATGCATGCACTATGGACTATGGTTGGTACATGTACAACATCAAATGGAGCGGGACTACATCATTATCATCATGCATACTCCTATATATATTATAACTATAAATATAAATATAAATATAAATATAAATATAAATATAAATATAAATATAAATATAAATATAAATATGCAGGCATGGAATAATCTTTCAAAGCTAACGTTAAACATGACAGTAACGAAATCTGTGTGTTTATCTCTAGACTAGAAAGAGAGGGCGAGGGAGAGGGATGTATATCTATGGTGTACCAACCGGGTAGGTGATGAAGAAGAGGGTACATATATATAAAGAAAAGGGAGTTGATCAGAGAGTGGGTGGAGGGAGAGAAAGTGGTAGTCTAGTAGTATCTGCTGCATTTGTAAGGAGACAAGGGAAAAGACAAGAAAGCTCAGCATCAGTGTGGCATTGCTATTTGCTAGTACTGCGAGGCTGCGTTTAGTTCAAAAAAGTTTCCCAAAAAATACTACCGAATCTTGCAATACGTATATGGAGCATTAAATATAGACGAAAAAACTAATTACACAGTTTGGTTGGAAATCGCGAGACGAATGTTTTAAGTCTAATTAGTCCATGATTAAACACTAGTTGCCAAATAAAAATAAAAGTGTTATAGTAGCCAAATTCCCAAATTTCACAAACTAAACATTTTGTGTTGAGTTGTGTTGTGTCGTGGCCAGTGGCCACTGGACAGTGTGGGGGTATGGTGGTGGAAACAGGAGATGGGAACGGGTGGACAAGTGCAAGCGTACTAGCCTTTCTCAGAATTCATATACTCCTGTGTGGTTGCTGTGCCGTAAGTTTAACTGATTTAAAAAAATACGTGTAACATTTATATTTTTAAATAAATTTATTAAAAAACTAGATTCAAAGATCTTTTCAGTGATACTAATTATGTATCATAAATATTAATATTTTTTAATATATATTTTATTAAAGTTGTTTATTGGAAAAAAATGATAGATATTTTAGAACGGAGGAAGTACTGCGTAGTATAGCAATTGACAGAGTAAAAGAAAAAGTGTTTCTTTTTTGCTTTTTTATATATTTCCTCGAGAGGGCAAGAATGGAAGCAGGCTGGGCTGCTCAGCCTTTGCATCTTTTGGATCCTGGCTCTCTTTTTTCATCTTCTCCGTTCCGTTCTCCCCTAGAAGCGAGCAACGAATAGATAAAGCTCGGGTCGGTTTTGGTGCCACTAGCCTTCTTCCCCTTTTGCTTCTCTTCTCTGCGCTGGGGAGGCGCTGATACTGTTCCTCTTCCCTCCTCCTCCTCCCCCACCTCCTGCTCTCTCCCCATGACTGCTGCTGCTGCCTCTCTCTAGCCGCGCTGCGCGCTGCACGGCTGCTGCCAGCTCTAGAAAGATACTCCACTCCTACTAGACAGCTGTTGCCTTCAGCTGCTGCCGCTGCCGCTGCTCGACTGCACGTCTGCACACCACAGAGAGGTGTGGAGCGGAGAGAGAGAGAGAGCGAAGAAGCCGGCAGGGGAGAGGAGAGGAGAGAGAGAGGGGAGTGTGTGCCTGTGCCGTGTGATAGAATCTGGAATTGCTTTCCAGTCATTGACCACCCAGTCCGACAGCCTGTTAGAATCTGGATCGTAAATTTCAGTCGGGAATACTGTTTTTCTCAGTCATAATCCACGATCACCTACGAGTCTGAACAGGCTGCGAGTTTCCCTCCCCCCTCGTTTTGTCCCCCCCCTGCGCCTCCTTGATTCCTGTGTTGCTTGCTGTTCCTCCCTCCCCTCCCTCCTCCCTGCGTGTGTTGTTGCCTTGCCTTGTTGTTATTCCCTGACCTCCCTGCTTGGCTTGGCTTGGGGTTGGGGGCCTGCTCATCAAGCTCCCCAGGCCGCCTCATATACCCCCGTGTCTCATGCCCCACCCCTTTCTTCACTTATCTTCCCCTAGCTAGCTAGGTAGACACATACACATAGCAGTAGTGGTGTATATATACACAACAGGTGCAAGGTCAGGCGAAGCTACTAGCCGCCCTTGGAGGCTTGGATTTCATCACCTTCACCTAGTGTGTTCCACCATCAGCAGGAGCTCCTACAGGCAGAAGCTGCGGCGGCAGATCGGGAGAGCGGCATGTCCAACCTCACCTCCTCCGCGTCCGGCGGCCCCAACGCGCCGCCTGCTGGTGCCCCGCCGCAGCCGGCCGCCGGCAACAACAAACGCAAGCGAAGCCTCCCAGGCAACCCCGGTAGGTGGTGGACTATCGATCTTGTTTTTCCTCCCTTGTAATTCTTCGATCGATTAGTTCATGAGTTCAGTTGGCTCTTGGTTCTCGTTTATGCTTGACTTGATGACGTGCTTGCCTCATCAATCAAGAAACAAAAAACAAGAAACAAGAAAGCGCGCAACTGATACTGATACTGATCGGTGGCATGCCATCTTTCTCTCTTGGTCATCCTCATCCTCATCGATCAGACCCCGAGGCGGAGGTTGTGGCTCTTTCTCCGGCGACGCTGATGGCGACGAACCGTTTCGTGTGCGAGATCTGCGGGAAGGGGTTCCAGCGGGACCAGAACCTGCAGCTGCACCGGCGCGGCCACAACCTCCCCTGGAAGCTGAAGCAGCGCGGCACGGGCAGGGAGGCGCAGCGGAAGAAGGTGTACGTGTGCCCCGAGGCGTCGTGCGTGCACCACGACCCGGCCCGCGCGCTGGGCGACCTCACGGGGATCAAGAAGCACTTCTTCCGCAAGCACGGCGAGAAGAAGTGGAAGTGCGACAAGTGCTCCAAGAAGTACGCCGTCCAGTCCGACTGGAAGGCGCACTCCAAGATCTGCGGCACCAGGGAGTACAAGTGCGACTGCGGCACAATCTTCTCCAGGTAATTAACTCGGATCACTTCCTTTTTCGTTTGTTTTTACTCGATCGTCGTCGTCTCTCTTAGTTTCTCTCTCGCTCTAGAAAGCTAGCTAGGCGATCCATCCATCTATCTTCCATTGCAAATTTGCAATTGCAGCCAGCTCCAGATGCATGAATGTTGTTATCGGGTGAAGACAAGTTGCAGTGCGTGAAGCTGGCTCCGCTCCAGTGTCAGTGGGCACACTGGTCAACCTGATCCTCTCTTCTTTCACACTTGGAGGTTGTTTGGAGGTTATGATCGTCGATCGAGGGAGGGGTGTTTGATTAGCTCTTGATGCTTTGCCTGAGAGAAATGCATGTGGTGATTGAGATTTCAACTAGATAGGGCACTGATTAAAGGAGAGAATGATGTGTCAGGCTAGATCGATAGGATAGGATAGGATGCTAGCGGTAGTAGACGACACCAGTGCAGATGCAGTGCTGTACTGCACTGGTTCGCCTTGGCTTCTGTCTGCTTGCAGCTTGCAATGCAACCAGCGATGCATCAGAGAGAGGATGGGAGATGGAAGGCGAGTCCAAGGCATCGGGCATCCGTCCATGGACAGAAAGATAGACCACTTTCTAAGACCTCCCTTTGCTCTTTTCTTTTTGTTCATGGTCCATGGACGAGGGGGAGGATTCGGGAGCTGCTGCTGCATGGTGCGTGCAGCAGAACGGAACCCAATGCCGACAGGGTTCAGAGCTTAGGCTGTGTTTAGTGCGCGAAATGAAAATGTTTGATATCACATCGGACGTTTTGGGATGTCGGGAGGGGTTTTCGGATAATAATAAAAAAACTAATTACATAGCTTGTCTAGAAACTGCGAGATGAATTTATTAAACTTAATTAATCTATCATTAGCGCATGTCAGTTACTGTAGCATTTATGACTAATCATGGACTACTTAGTTTTAAAATATTTATCTCATGATTTCCAACCAAACTGTGTAATTAATTTTTTTCCGTCTAAATATTCATATTCATTCATTCATTTGTTCGAGTTTTCAGAGAAGACCGAACACAGAAAAGCTACTGTCTACGGGGCGTAGGGCCGAGAAAAGAGAGATCCGCGACCTCGCTGGATGGTGAAGAGAAGTTGTAGAGGTAGAGGAGGCTCGGACAGACATGTGAATCTGTTTGCAGAGCCGAGGTGGCTTTCCATCTCCTTCCCTCGCCCCAATGCTGCCCGTGCTGTGATACTCCTCCCTATCCATAGCTAGAGCTAGAACTAGCTGCGTGACTACACTGTCCTCCTACTCCTCTCTCCTGTCATGTCCCTTCTTCCCCGAGCGAGCCTCTCTCTTCAACACGAGTCACACACGGCAGCATTGCGTTGCGTAGCAGTAGCAGTAGCCTGCCTAGCGGCCTAGGAGTAGCCCTGGTAGCCATGACAGGTGAACAAGATCAAACGGGATGGATGGAGCTTTTGCTTTTAGCTTTCTCTTTTCCTTTTTGCTTCTGATCGAGCTGAGCTCTGATCCCGGCAGGAGCAGGACGGACGGGCTACAGCTACAGAACAGGAGGCTAAAGATTTGATTCTCTTGCTTGTTCTTTTCTTTTGCGTCGCATGCAATGTGCAGGCGGGACAGCTTCATCACGCACCGCGCCTTCTGCGACGCGCTCACCGAGGAGAGCGCCAAGGCCATCGGCCTCAACGCCATGGCCGCCGCGCCGGCGCCAGCGCACCTCCACCACCCGCTGCTCTTCTCGCCGCCGCCCGCGCACGTCATGCAGCAGCAGGACGTCGCCTTCCTCCAGGAGCACCCGCAGCACCACCAGCACCAGGAGGTCATGCAGCCGCCGCCGCAGCAGCACTACAACTACGCCATGAAGACGGAGATGCCGCCGTGGCCGCCGGCGATGGCCTACGACCACCCGCTGCTGCAGCCGCTCGCCGCGGCGCAGAGCTCGGCCACGTCCGCGCCGCCGGCGCCGCAGCCGCAGCTGCCCGCGGCCTCGGCGCACCTGTCGGCCACGGCGCTGCTGCAGAAGGCGGCGCAGATGGGCGCCACCATCTGCGGCGCGGGCGCGGGCTACACCCAGATGGCGGGCCCCGCGACGAGCGCGCCCGGCAGCGGCGCCACCTTCGGCCTCGGCCTCCCGGGCCTGCAGAATGCCCATCAGCAGCAGCAGGATGGCGGGGTCATGGCCGGGCTCGCGAGGACAGCCTCCCACGGCCGCAGCGGCGAGGAAGGCGCCGACGGCATGACCAGGGACTTCCTGGGCCTGCGCGCCTTCTCCCACCGCGACATCCTCGGCCTCGCCGGCTTGGACTCCTCGTGCATGGGCGCCATCACCGCCAACGCCAGCATGAGCTGCTACGAGCCACAGCAACATGCACAGGTACAGGCTCAGGCTCAGACGCAGCAGCAGCAGCAGCAGCAAGCAGCAGCGAGCCATGGCACGGCATGGGCAACCATAGCTAGATCGATCGCTTCGCTAGCTACCCCTGGCAGCAAAGCTACTTTCTTCTTGCTCTCAAGTCTCATCAGCCGTTGCATCTGATCGCTGCCGCCGCGGTGCAGAGGGCAAAAACTAGCTAGGGCCGGCCGGCCAGTGCATGCACCGTGCCTTTTGAGAGTCGGGTAATGTCTCGCCTCACTTGCTGCTCATCTTTTGCTTCTGTTCATGATATCATCTCATGATCTTTCAACTTAACCACGCAATGCAAGCGATCAAACCTTGTGGAGCTAGGTTTGGATCAAACTCTAGCTCGGTCGAAGGATGATGATGATAATACAGAAGAGTACGCAGCAGGGAGTTGTGTAATTTTTTGGGTTTGGGAAGAGAGATCGACCAACATGTAAACTAAGCTCGAATCAAGCAGCTGGGAAGAAAACCATAGCTATGTGACAGTAATAATACATGCATGCATTCATCATCTCTTTTTGTTTGGGCATTGCATCCATGTTGCAATTTTGGTGATATAAAATGTTTCTTGTTTCGAAAACCAGTATTTGGATGGTGACATGAGAGAGTAGATTGTGTGAATGAACTGGAGTCCTTGGTGTAGACTGTAGTAGACCATAGGCAGGCATTCTTTCTTCGGTCTCCTCCTCCTCCATGCTGCATGTGTGTGCCTGTCTGTGTACTGTGTCGTGCAATCAGGCCATGTACTGGGCAGTGCTGGCTACTGTTCACCCGTGACAAGGTTTTGTTGGTATTGGACCTATTGGGTCATGGGCACGCATTATTCCATGCTGGATGCATGGGGTGAGTGAGAGCGAATATTGGAAAAGTTGTTACAATATATTGTGTATAGCTTACGCTCAAAAAATATATTATGTATCCGTTTCAAAAAAAAAAATTATGTATAGCCTGTGTGTGCTGCCTTCTTGCTTGCAACTTTAGCATCTGCAGTAACGAAATATATATGAATTTTGTTTCCTTATTTTGCAACTTTTTGCCTACTGTGGTTTTATGAGTTATTTTTAAATTTTGTTTCTTCGTTAAAAAAGAATAATAGTACGTATTATTGCACTTTCTAGAGATTTTGTAATACATGTGTATACACCATACGGGCAAACCATGATGCATTTTAGATTTTATGGTGTGTTTTTACCATGCTACAACTCGGTACAAATTAAACTTACCCTGCTGTTGTGTTCACCTTCCATAGCTCTTGACTCCTACTAGTAGTAGTGTCCAAAAGAAAATCTACTGGTAGTAGCTGCGCTACACTATACGAGTAGACCATAAACTACTATAGTGGACATTTTACTCCTTTCTCGTGGTTTAGCACATAATTTTGCTTTTATGTCATCGATAATTAGAAGAAATGTTAAGAAAGAGCAGATTGTAGCCAATTATTACCCTTCCTTGGTTAATCATTACATAACAAAGTATATATGTACCGGATCGGATGGCATGCAGTGAGAAAAATGGGGTACGGTGACGCTGACGCCATCTTTGTAGGGATGGATATTAGATAAAATATTGCGCTAACTAAACGGTCTGCAACTCTAGTTAAAATCTATTGGATCAAGACAAATTAGATGTGATAGATATAAAAACGTTATAACTATTTTAAACATGCAAGATACCAAAAATGGTAAATGATGTGTACATATAAAAGGCATCGCCCTGATTTTAAAGTATTAGACTAAAAGTAGTCTACTTAAACACTGACACGAATTTTAAAAAAAGAAATAATTATGCTAAAATTTGGCACAATACATCCAAAAATTACATATGAATGAATCCAAAATAAAAATAAAAAAAGCTATATCACATTCTTTCATCATCTTCTTCCCTAGTGGTTTTGGTTGATACAATCCATGCTTCAAATGTACAAAACTCTATCGAAAATTGAAAAGTCCTCAAGCTTAATCCCTCGACCAATAGTTTTGTATGTGTCATGAGATACAACGTTCTAGAACCAAATGGAAACACATCTGAGTTTGATGAAAGAATATCAACGATTGATTCACCATGTATAATACAGGCTGTTAGCACCTCCAACCCTTAATCCATTAGGTTGGACGCCTGATTTTCTCTTTGCGATCATCGACGATGAGGTTGGTGACCCAAATTCTTTCATCGTCGTTTTCCCTAGTGGCCTTAGTCAAGCCGATGATTCAAATGAACAAAACCCGTCGTCGAACACCAAATGGTCCTCATGCTGAATCAGATACAACGTTCTAGAACCAGACTGAAACACATCTGAATCGATGCAAGAATATCGTTGTGTACAATACAAGCCGTCAGCACCTCTAACCCTTGATCCATAAAGTTGGACACATGATTTCCTCAATGTGGCCATCGACGACGAGGTTGGTGATCTAGATTTACTATTCAGGAATCGGACCATGAGTACCCAATCGATTCCCCCAATGGTGGCCTTGTTGTGGCCATCGTCGAAGTCATCGTAAGTAACAATCTCCTGGACGAACATCAATGATAATTTCATCAATATATTTATTCAAGATAAACTTGAGCAAACTAAATATAAAGAACTGCTTGACCGTAAACGAGGGATGGGTTGCCCTCTTCTTCCTTCCACTGACGATAGTCTCATCGGAGAGGAAGGAGGGCCCCTAGCTGACAACTGCGAGTTGCCTTGACAGCAGCAGCTCTAGTTACAGAACCAGTGGGAGTTTTATCATAGTTTCATTTGTATTTAATGAGCTGCCATATAAACGTTTTTGATGATGTGGCAACGTTTTTAAGAAGAGCGAGAAGTGAGTTTTATGGGGATAAAACTCTCTTGGCACGGTTACCAACTAGCTATGGGTCACGAAATTAAATGTATATAAAACTATAGAATGAAACTCTCCATTAAGAATGAGTGTTTCATCCATATTTTATTTTATTCTATATGACATGGCAGTTTTGGAAACAACGTTACGGAACTTCCCACTGAGACTGGCCTAAGATACTAATAATACATGCACACAGACTTGATTTTAGCACTGTATAAATTACTAGATTTCAGAGGTAATGAACTTTGATCAGGGAAAGCAAACGTGGTCAAATATACATGGACGTTTTTCTATGGTCAATATTGGGATATTGTAAGTTTGGTCCCGGAGTTACTAAAACTTACATTATTGATGCATATTGTACATATATTTGGTTCCTCATATGTATTTGTAACCAGTAACATGTTTTCGAAATTTGAAATTTTGATACCTTTCATGGATGATAAGAATATCAAATATATTATATAATCATTTCCACAAGACCACCCGATGATCAGAATATTCTTTGATACCACGCCAAAACTAGAAATTTTGGCTGCACTCTCTTCCAATCGGTGTACTACTTTCTATGGTTTTCAATTTGTCGTACATTTATGCGTTGTGTTATATAAACGGCTGTTTTTAAAACAACATGCATGGTCTCCATATGCAACGTTCCAACTGTTATATATGTAAATGCAAATGAGAAATTTTCTAAAACAATAGTCAAAATTCGTTAACCCCTAACTGCACGCTTTAATATTTCCCATTTCAGAAGTGGAGGCAATATTAATGAATGTCTATGCATAGTACGAATGGTATTGTTCTTTTGTGGAAACAACGACCTTAGCACAGGGGTCCTATTGTGTCGCACTAAGTTTGCACAGGCCATGTTAGGCCGCGAAGATGACATGCACGACAAATAGACAAAGAGCATCGTTGAAAGCATGTCGGTACTGCTTCCTGCCGGGGCCGGGGGTTCCAATGCGCGTGATGGTATAGTTGTACGGCGTAAATACACATCATTTGCTTATTATAACATTGGTGCTGTCGTTTGCAATTGTATCTAGCTCCTTTTAAAAAAAATATTGCAAAAAGTACCACGAATGTATTTAAATTTGCTTTGTCAAAACAAGCAATTGGTGTAATTATCAACCACTACTGCAGAAAACTTAATCGAGGCGGGCAAAATCGATTAACTAAGGTGAACAAGCCAACCGCCTCTGTCAAAAGGTCATGGTTAATCGGACCTTAACAGAACCGCCTCGGTTAATCGATTAACGAGGTGGGCATGTTAAGGTGACAGCCTCCGTTAACGGGCGTCTAAAAGTGCCCGCCTTCGTTAATGTTCTCTAGAAAAAAAACTTGCAACTTTGGAGGATCAAACCCACAACCTGGTGCTCAACACTACCATGACTCTACCACTACACCAAACACTCATTCATGTCTATATATAATATGCTATCTTTTTATATTAATATTTTATAATCTTATATTGGATATTTTAGCTACTAAATGAACTCAAATGAAAAAAAATTAACTACAAAGTTTTAAATCTTGTGAAGTACTACACCTTTGGTATATGATGTATCTCCATCAGAGAGAGACAGTTTGAAAAATTCAAAAATTTGAGTTTAAGAACATGTGAATTTCAAACACATATTTGAGACTCTAGGTGACTTTAAATCAAAAACTTGTCAATATCAAACATGTAGATAGGTCGGCCATTAGAACTTTGGTATTAACTATGTAAACATTGAGATCATTTAGGAATTCAAAATTTTAAATTTAAAAATCTATAACATTCGAACACATATTTGGGACTCTAAACATATTTAAATTAAAAACTTTTCAACTACAAAGTTGTAGATTCTATTGAGAAGTATAACTTTTGTATAGACCATGTGAAAATCTAAGATCGTTTGGTAATTTTAAATTTTAAATTTAAAATATGTGCACTTACACCAATATTTTGGGACCCTAAACAGTTCCAAATAAAAAACGTTTCAATTACAAAGTTGTAAATCTCGTTGAGAGCTACAATTTTGATATAACGTTTGTCTTCATCCATTTCCATATCAAAAAGTTATGAATCATTTTTTGTTGCAATCATTAACCGAGGCGGACATCTTAAGACGTCCGCCTCTGTAAATCGATTTACGGAGACGGTCTCGTTAGAATGCCCGCCTCCGTTAATGATGAACCGAGATGGTTGCATTATATTGCCCGCCTCGGTTAATCAATATTAACCGATGCGGTTGCGTTAGGTTGCCCGCCTTGGTCAATCGATTAACCGAGGCGGTTGCTGGGCCGACTGCCGGCCAC